CATTTCGTTAGAACAAGGAAATTCTCCTGGTTTTATTTATCATACTGCCAAATGGTAAAGTAGGGCTGTGTGCCGAGCACTTATTCGCACAAATCTACCACCACATCTCCGAGACGATCCCAATACAGCTTCCGGCGGGGCCAATTTACGAATCCCTTCCACTCGCCTCTTCAAACGAAGTTCAAGGTACTTAAACAACTTCTTTGATTCTTCGAAACCCAGTTTTTCTACATTTCTAAGATAAATAAAATCAAATGAAATCGTGAGGCCCGTTCCAATCATTGTGGAAGAAACTTAACTATGAATTTTTAAATCATCTTTAGCGACCTAAGGTGATAGCTCTTATTTGCAAATGTTGGCTAGTTACTCTTATTTCATTTCTTGATTTGTTAATACCTGCTCCTTATAATGACATTTATCTAACTTATTGATCAACCTTCATTGTTTGAAGCCAAATTCCTTTTCTCAAAGTAATAGCTTTAATAGCAGATATCTATTAATTAATCAATTATCTCAGGAGATTAATCGAAACCCAGTTACTCTTCGTTTCTTTACCAATTAAGTGCAGTAAAGTTAACTACCTCATTGGGATTCTCTTATTTTATCTACTTAGTTTCCGGAATTACTTTCGATTGGCGCCCACATCTGGCTATGATTCTCTCGGCCAACTCCCAACAACCGACAGAATTAGAGCTAATTGGACAGGCACTTGAGCGTCTTGCTGACAGCTTGTTGGCTAGACATCAGATTTGGGCCGCCCACTTCTGCTACCTTCTGGTTCCAACAGCAATCAGTTCTTTTCCTGTCAGCTCATCTGTATTGAACGAGCAAGATCAGCCTGTTCGTCTCCGCCTCCCATCCAGAATTCGCCTTATTGGCCTCGCAGCTGAGGGACAAATGAATGCTCTTCAGAACACAGGCCCTTCGCATCATTCTGCTGATTCCTCAAACATAGAAAAGAGTGGTGTAGCTCGTCGTTCAGAATCGCGATTTGAGGCGTCAATAGAGGCTATCCAGTTGACTGAGATTTACGAGTATGCAATGCGGCTAGCCGACCGGCGGTTGCGCATCTTTGATCTGATGGTAAGACATTGCTAATTATAAAGAATATATCAGGCCGATTTCTATTTATCCGCATTATCTACCTTTGCAAATACATAATATGAAAAAAATTGAATATTTTACTTGCCAGAAATGTATAAAGAAGCTAATGCTTCTATTTGTTGCTTGTCCTCATAGCCTGTAAGAAGATATGTTTTCCACCTATTAAGTCCCCTGTTTAGCCATGCGTTCACATTTTTGTACCCACATTGGCAATTATGATCAGATAATCGGATCGGAAAGGATCTGTTGACCTCATCAACTTTTTCTTTTTCCAGAGAATTCACTCTTTAACCAATGCGTATGACAAGGGTTAAGTGTATGCGAAGAAAAGTTGGGTTTTGAGGAATCTCTTGTTTCATAATTGTTGGGTCTACACACATTTCTAGTGAAAGTGTTTGGTAAAGAGATTCCAAGCCCGATTTCATCAGAAGACGACGGCGAATTCCTCTTGACTAGTTGTAAATTGGCTTTATTAGAACATTCTTATTGGCCCTGTTTCTAAGGCTAGTTAAAATCATGCGTCAACCTCGAGGCTTGTGTCGGTGTATGCCTGCATGTGTTGAATATAAGGAATACCGACTAGAAGTTGAGTTAAAATGTTTATCGAAGGTATGAAGACCAAGATGGTGTGGCCTTTTGTGTGATCGAGTCTCCTTTCGTTGTATAGAAGTTGTTTGACCTTGTTTTCGCAACTCGGTCATATTGGTAGGAAGACTTAGAACAACGCACCTTGTCCGGTGTTCATTGTATGCATAATCATATCCAAAGTCGGACCATGGACGTGGTACATTCCAAGACGTTTCGCCGGCATCGTAGTCGGCATCTTCAGTGAGGTCTGCCATTCGTAGCACCATATTACAACTCTTCAAAGAGACAAATGAAGCCGATCTTTTGACCAAACGTGTGCTTAGCAGTTATGGTATCTCCCCTTCTGCCCTGGCCTATTCACGCCTTCACTATCACAATTTTTTACTTGCTTAATTAAATGTGGTACGGTGTACCCTTTTGAGCGGATTTCATGAGAACCCTCCGCACTCCACGCTGGCTTGCTCACCCCCTTTCATCTTTGTGCTGGGAATGTTGATCAAAGTCTGCCATATTGTTACGCAGTTGTCCTTCCATAGCTCTTACCACAGTCTCTCTCTTGCATTGTAGAATCCATCTGCGATCTCTCTAGTTCAAGTATTTCTCTCTATCTGCTACTCGAAGTGTCATTACTCCTCCTCTGTGTCTGGGTCACTAATTCGAGTCTAAAGCCTCAGAGTAAGTCTCATGGTCAGGCCTCTGCCACATGGACCACGTCTCTTATAACACTTACTGTCAGCCCACTAGCTCCCAACGCTGCCGCGTTTATCCTGTTTCTATATCTAATACCAAGTTTATGATTGCCCTGCCCTAGTCTCTTGTGTGCCAACCTACAAATGTTGTGTTACTGCTTGCTTTGGTTAAGTTCAATGTTGAACCACAAAGTTTGTGGGTTGGCACACAAGAGACTAGAGCATAGGAAGTCATAGACTTGGTATCATAGTTAGCAAGAGGATATAAGCAGTGGAAGCTAGAGCTAGTTGGCTAACAATAGTCGTGATTCAAGGATCACTTCTATGATCAAACACAACTATTTTTAGTCAAATAGTTTTAGTCTCCACCGCGTCTTTCGTATTCCTCCCGCAGAATGGAGGCGACTCAACTAGTATTTTCTTTTCTTTATATGAGATGTATTCACCCTATTTCGTTTGAGGTGATGGGCTGGTAGTAGACTTTTCCCACAATGATATCAGTTTAAATGACGTTTCCATTAAATTTCACATAGCCTTGCTATCCCAATAATTGCTCTCATCCAGGCTGGACTGCAGTTTCGACCTTACATAGGTCTTATCAACACCCTTAGCAGAAGTCGAATCGTGGCAGTGTAGCATGTGAGATTGACACATTAACCCTCATGTGTTGAATGTCA